GCTGTTTTCTCAACAATGTTAGATATAAGGGTAAAAATTGTTTCCATTGTAAAGGCGTTAATCTTGTAACTTCATATCCATAGCTCCTTTTTGTGTGATGTATGTTTCAAGAAATTGAGTATGAACGTTTCTCTTAACTTATTTAATTTCATTTGATTTTAAATTGTTTTTATATGCACTAATGTAGCAATCAATACAAGATATTTCTTTATAGTTTTCATTGATGTTTTTTGTTAGTTAAATCTTGTATTTTTTATTTTTATATACGATCAAACTCTAACACATGCGAAGATTTATTTGAGTAATTTGTTGTTTGAGATCAAACAGTGTAATATTGATATTGATCATGAACAAATAGGAATAAATTCTCTTGTTCTATTAAATTGCATTTAGGTTATAGTTCATTCTAATTTTAGATGAATAAGAAGAGTTTGTTGTTTTTCTTAAGTGAAATCTAAACAAATCAAACACAACGTACAAGTTCTAGTGTATTTTAGTTACATAAAGTGTATGTGCAATTTAGACTACACAAAAGAATCCAATTACATGTTTCAAAATCTTGAAAATTTTAATGGGAATATATAATAATAATATCTTACACAAATACAATCTAATCTAAGAAAACGATTTTAAAAAATGCACTTCATATTAAATCGCGTTGAAATTATTTGTTTTTATATTCATTTGCAAGACAGCATTGACTTAAAATTTTATCTATTAAATTTTTGTATTCTAGTAAAACATTTAAAAATTATATTTATATAAACGAGACCGTATATAAAAAAAATAATATTATATTGTCAGAAAAAAAGTAGCTATGTTTTGTTAAAATTAAGGAAGACAGAGAAGAAGAAAAACAATTGTACATATCCAAAAATGAAAGTGTCGCTTAGGTAATATTGTTAGATAATCTTAACTAAACTTAGAATCTAACAACAAACAACACTTAACTGCCGCTGGAGTTTCTACAAATTAACAACATATAAATATGTTCCTTACTGTTTGCTATTACAATATTCTTAATTCGTCAACCAGATTACTCGGTTAATTAAGTAATTAAAGGAAGAAGAAGCCATAAGAATAAAAGAATCAAATATCAAGAAACCAAATCAAAATGTCTCGCATGATTTCAGAAAAGAAACTTGGTGCAGGTCGCGTTGTCGCCGTTGCTATTGAGAATAACAAAACAAGCCAACATGCTGCTAAATGGGCTGTTGAGAATCTTCTTCCTAAAGATCAATGCCTCTATCTCATTCATGTTAAACCAAAAACTAACTCTTCAGCTTCCGTTTCTTCGTCTTCAAGTAATTCATTCATTCATTCTCCTCCGCTTCTCTGTCTGTTTGTCTGTTATTTCTGTTTCTGTTTCTGTATAACGTTTATTTCTTTAATAATATACCGACCTGGAAACTATGCAGGTATGGGAGAGGTAAACGGAGATACTTTTGATAGCGAAACAAAAGATCTTTTTGATTCATTCCGTGTTTTCTGTAATAGAAAAAGCGTAAGTTTATTTCGTTATTATGTTTTATTATTAATTCGGATTCGAGAAAAACAATAATGAGTGATTTGGCAATAATAACAGATACAATGTAGAGAAGTGTTGTTGGAGGATGCAGATATATCAAAAGCATTGGTAGATTGCATTTCAACTCATTGTATTGAGCTTCTTGTATTAGGAGCAGCGTCAAGGGGTGGCATTGTTAGGTACCTTTTTTAATATTACTTCATTCGTTTCATGTTTTATCCATTAACATTTTCATGATCATGTATATATATAACAGAATTCTGTGTGATTATGACAGAAGATTTAGGACAACGGATGTTCCAACCACTGTTTCAAAAGCAGCACCGCCCTTCTGCACTGTATATATAATATCTAAAGGGAAAATTTCGACGGTTAGATCTGCAACAGCTCCTATTCCAAAACAAGCCGTGCCGGTCGCGGCGCCTATGATTGCACCACCAACACCGTCGCGTAATCAAACATTTCAACAGCAATATGCAATGCCGACTCGAAGTCCTGAAAGATTCGACCCTCAGTTGACCAGAAACTACCCGCCACGACGTATGTGTGATTAGTTTACTGATTAATAATAATTTGTTTGTGAGATCGAAATTCAGAAAATGTCTGAATGAATATGTTTTTTTGCAGCTGTATCAGATAGGCATTCGACATATGGGATACGGCAGGGGCTCGATGATGAGCAAGAAATGATGTATGGTTGTTACAATATATATATTCATTTCGTTTAATATAGTAATTATGTTCATTGATTGATACTAATTAATGAAGTTGTTGACGATGATATGGTCGAGCAGATCGCCGTTCAACAGGAGAGGACACAAAGCGTACGAGTCATCGGTTCCTGATTCAGATATATCATTTGTGAGCAGTGGAAGACCGAGTATTGATCGAATATACCCTTCATTGTATAACATTGAAGAACTGGACACTAGTATTAGTACTGGAATTCCCAACGGGAGGCTTTCAGATTTTGATGCAAGAAGCAGCTTCGCTTCGTCTTATTCTGGAGGAGGAGGACAAATTGAGATGTCTTCTCCTTTGGATAACTATTCATTCAGCTCCTCCCAAGGCAGTGGTAGTGGTTTTTCTTCATCAAGGTTATCTGATGCCGGAGATGACGTCGAAGCAGAGATGAGGAGGCTTAAGCTTGAACTCAAACAAACTATGGAAATGTACAGTTCAGCTTGTAAGGAAGCACTCACAGCCAAACAGAAGGCACTAGAACTTCAACGTTGGAAAACGGAAGAAGAAAAGAAGTTGGAAGAGGCAAGAGAAGGCGAAGGAGCAGCTATGGCTATGGTAGAGTTGGAGCAAGAAAAGTGTAAAGCTGCCCTCAGGGCAGCAGAAGCATCTCAGAGAATTGCAACTTTGGAAGTACAAAAGCGAATGAGCGTAGAAAGAAAAAGCGAAATAGATGCAAGCCAGAGGAGAAAAGCTGACGATTCTTATAATCCAATGCATAGCACTGCCAGATATAGAAAATACAGTATTGAGGAAATTGAAGATGCAACACAAAGATTTTCAGACAGTCTTAAAATTGGTGAAGGAGGGTATGGTCCTGTTTTCAGATGTGAACTCGACCATACGCAGGTTGCTATCAAAGTGTTGAAATCAGACGCAGCTCAAGGAAGGGCACAATTTAACCAGGAAATTGAAGTTTTGAGTTGTATAAGACATCCAAATATGGTGCTTCTGTTAGGAGCATGTCCTGAATATGGTTGTATAGTGTATGAGTACATGGCTAATGGAAGTTTGGATGACTGTTTGTTCAACCGAGGAAAGGCACCCCCTCTTCCTTGGCAGTTGAGATTTCAAATTGCAGCCGAGATAGCCACTGGACTCCTTTTCCTTCACCAGACTAAACCAGAACCGATTGTGCACCGTGACTTGAAACCTGGAAACATTTTGCTTGACCGAAACTATGTAAGCAAGATTGGTGATGTTGGTTTGGCAAGGCTTGTCCCTCCTTCTGTTCAAGACACTGTAACTCAGTATCGCATGACTTCGACTGCTGGAACTTTTTGTTACATTGACCCTGAGTACCAGCAAACCGGCATGCTTGGTATCAAATCTGATATTTACTCACTTGGAATCATGCTCTTACAAATGATTACTGCCAAGCCTCCAATGGGTTTGACTCATCATGTTAGTAGATCTATTGAAAAGGGAACTTTTCACGACATGCTTGACCCTGCTGTTAAGGACTGGCCTGTTGAACATGCCTTGCATTTTGCCAAACTTTCCCTTCAGTGTGCGGAAATGAGAAGAAAAGATAGACCCGATCTTGGAAAAGTTGTGCTCCCTGAGCTCAACAAACTCAGAATATTCTCCGAAGAAAACATGCCTATGATGTTTAGAGGCGGTAGTGCAGCATTCAATCCCAGAAGTACCAACTATTTCATGAATTCCACAGCTTCTACGAATCAAGTGAGTCATTTGATTTCATTAGTTATATGATAATATAACATTTGACAATATCAAATTAATATTGAATCATATATTTGTCTGTTCTGTTGTAGGACATTATGAGTGAATCGGATTCTCTGTCTGGCAGCTCCGGATACGAAAGCCGTTCAAGTACATCATCATGGGGGAGACCGTAATGGTCAGAGTATATATAGTTCTTCACAGTTTTCCTTTTGTTGGTTTGACAACATCACATCAGGCAGCCACATACATGTCAAAGTTTAAGGTTACCTACAACATGGATGCACCTTTGAAGAAATTAAATGTCCAGCCAAAATTTGTAACCCTGGATTTGAATGTATTTCACAATTGATCAATACATACCAGTACTATGAATTAATTTTGTCTGTAAATGGAATCCAAATGCAAGTCGCATAAATGTAAAATTTGGCACCTGGCTGTGATTGATCCCGTTTTATGTCTCAAATAATATTCTACAAAAATTATTTCATCTTATGTCATTTAAGAAAACTAATTTGCATCGATTAATTGTGAGAACTAGCTCTCAAAAAGAAACTTGAATTATTAGAAGTATCATTTAGACTTGAAAAATGTCAGCAGCATCTATAGGAAGAACAAGCCACATTCAACCTTGTGGCATGCCGGCGTCAAGAGGCAGGCACCCTTTTGGGATTTTCTCCTAAACTGACCATACATTTCGATTATGAAAACCAACATCTTACATATGAAGATGCAACCTTACATTCAAAAGAGTGTACACAATAAAAATTGAATAAATTTCAACCAAATTGATACATCAGTATACATTGTAAACTTTGTTTTGTAATGCTTAGACCATAACTCAAATTACATGCAAGGCTAAACTGTATTTTTCATCCAATGTAGCAGTTGATTTAACTCTCGGTCTACAAATGCAAAAAATAATACAATTCTCTATTTGCAAAAGACAAATTATAGATGAAAATGGTATCTTACATCCAAAAGCAACTAAAAAATGGAACTTTGAAATGGATATTTAGTGATTTGGTCAGGTAATTCCTTTGTTTTATGGGAAAAAACTCCGAGTGGCTTGCTTCTTTGCAGGATGGCTGTCAGGGTCATATGCTTCCATGAAGGGAGCAGGAAGCCCAAGTCTTTCCTCGTTTGAATTAGTGCCGTCTTCTGGACCTACCCAAGCTAGAGGCCTCACTGCATCACACATATTACCGTGATAACACGGCACAAAAATTCTCAGTACCAACATTTCATTTATAATAATAAGGGTGCTAGATTAAAAGTTACTTTTTGATACACTATACATCATATCATCTCTTTCAGGTCCAAAACTTTTATCCATAAGAACTTTGGCGCGTCAAGTTTATAATCATAGTAGTACAATTGAACCTTTATGATTTAGTTAAAATTTTATGTACCTTGCTCAGGCTCAACTGATTTAGCATGAGAGCGTTTCCTCACATAGTTTTCTTGCAATGGCTTAGGTATTTGAAATGAGAACCGTGAAAGAGTTACGCCATCTATCATGTACTCTGGATGTTCCGCCAAGAACCTAAAAACACAATCACCACGAGCGAAATAAAAGAAAGACGAATGCCAGTAATTAATAATAATTATGACAATAATTCAATTAAGACAAGGTGTAAATGGCATAGATAGTAAAGTAGAAGGAGCATACTTCTGGACCTCGACCATTGAGCGCAATCTCTTGCCTGATGGTGCTACATAGTATCTGAAACATTAAAAGATCACAGCAGTGACAAAATGACGATGAACAACTTAGAACATCCATGAGAGGGTCGACTTCTTAGCCCAGAAAATTCATAATAGTGGTATTGAATCATTGGATAAGGTTTTGTTTCTATTCTAATAACTGATTAAAAGAATAACCGAAAATGGATACATACATATCTGCAAATTTGCTGCTTCCTTCACCTCTAATTCGTAGAAGTCGCTGCCATCCATCTGGAGGTTGTGCAATGCTAGGCTTGTCAATAGCCCAAATTCTACTGCCATCCTGGGAAATATCCTCGGGATCATCACAAGTTATGTCGGGTCGCCACTCACGAGCTTTTTCACAAACAAAAGGATGTTGAAGGATATACTCGCGTATTTCTTCGTATTTTTCCTTTGTTGGAATCAATCTCCATTTAAAACAGGAAGCACATTGAACAGTGAAAGCACCAACTGCTGGCAACACTCTAGGAGTTGAACTTGATGGTTTACTTCGTGGACGCGGTGGAGGCTTAAACTGAAAAGGATCCGGGGATTGAATAGCATTGTCTCCGTTTATCACAGGGTCATAAAGTACTAATTGTTTAGATGCGTCGTCATTAGACATGTTACTTTCATCATCTGAAGACGAAGAAGAAACATATATGGGTTCAGGGAGACTTCTATGTTGATTATCAGGAAAACCTGAACCTGCTAGGTCATTGACTTGATTCTTGGGTGTAAGTGAAAACTTTCCACGATGCATTTGATTTTCCTAGGTCGAGAACCTGATACATTGAAAAAGACGATCAAAGTAATTACTAAAAAAATAAACCTCAATATTGTTACACAGCAAGCCTTATGAAAAAGATAATTCTTGAATAAAGTCAAGACTTGAAAAGAACTTTTATCCTCATGTTTCTTGAGAATATATATTAATGGCATCAACATATCTTCTCTTGTCTATTCATTAAATAAGAATTAGGCACAATCAAGGTTATTAAACCGAGATTTGAATCATGAATCGGAAGAACTATTTTCAAACCTCAATATTGTTACACAGCAAGCCTTATGAAAAAGATAACTCTTGAATAAAGTCAAGACTTGAAAAGAACTTTTATCCTCATGTTTCTTGAGAATATATATTAATGCCATCAAGGGCTATGCATATCTTCTCTTGTCTATTCATTAAATAAGAATTAGGCACAATCAAGGTTATTAAACCAAGATTTGAATCATGAATCGGAAGAACTATTTTCAAACTCATAGATTAAATCTTATTGTGGGTAATAAAATGAGTCATGTTATACAGAGCAAATTTTTGCTTCGTGAATGCACACGACGTTGATGTGTTATGGTTTCAAGGAAATTTTACTTCCATGTTTCATGGAAATAATGGACATTATGGGGAATCAAAATTTGACAGCCAGTAAAAAATGTACGAGAAGCATTTGCAATGGATGCTTCATGACACGAGATTACGAAGCACAGTGTAGGCAGGAAGAAGGCAAAAATCACACGTAGGAGGGACGGAGGGAGTGAGGACAAGAATAAATATGCTGGAGCTGTTTGTTTGTGAACCTGTATTAGGTTAATTGAAAGTTTGGTTTTGGCTGATTCTGTTCCACTAAAAGGAAAAAAATATGAAAACAATCCGAGTGGGCCTTTTAGAAATGGGCGAATGCGGCCTGATCCTTTCTAGGCTGCACCCGCAATAGAACTTGTATCATGCAATCCAGCGGTATTCATGATTCATGCAAATCGGGATTAAGCTATTATTAAGTTCCAAAATAGATTGCATTTGATATCATTTTCGAATCAAGATACGAGTCACGCAAATCACGCGTTGAGCACAATCTTCATAAAACCCTTCCAGAAAGGTTAGGAAGCACAATTTTGAGCCTTGCAAGCTTGGAAACAATCTAAAAGGCAGCCCAAGAAGCGAGACTCCACATAACAAAGCAAAAATACCGAAATTTAAATATTATTTTGGAAAGTATATCTAACCCTCTCAAAGCTTACTATGACAAGAAAAAGAGCAGAACTCATTTATAATCTCATAATCACATATAGAAAGTAGCAAATGACCTAGATTCCCCTATTTTAATTTTATTTATACCAAGTCTAAGCATAAGGTTTACCAAGCAACAACATTCGAAATCGACATCATAGAGCCTGTAACTCAAACAACAGCAACAAAATCACATTGTTTCAATCAAAACAAAGATCAACAATAAATTTGTCTTGAGTATACCATCAAATTACAGTCTAGGGCAGTGTAAGGTTTAACCCTTGTGCCACAAATAAACGTTCATAATCTCGTATATTGAAAAACACAATGTAGGGTAAACATATATATACCTAGAGGGAGGTAGATAGAAGAAGAAGAAATAGCCTGCAAAAGTTAAGATCCCGTTGCTGAACCTGTGGCAAGAAAATCAGATCAGAGCATGAAAATAAGATCAACGATTTCATGAAAACAATCAATGAAAGAGGATGAAATCTAATAAATAAAGGGTTGCATGATATCAATCTATGTATGATCTAAGAGAAAAGGGGGATCGAGCGAACCTTAAAAGAAGGAAAAACAGGATTTACGAGACAGAGTTAGGTTCGATTATCCTAAGAACACCACAAAAACCAAGGACCTTCTTTGTTCCATTTCTACTCCACTTGTTGTCGTTTCAAATCTAAAATAATATTTACTCCTATTTCACTATATTTATAACATCCTTTCCCAAACTTTTTACTACTTGTTACCTAAATATAAGCAACGTTCAAAATTATATGCATTTCTTACCCTAATTAATAGTCGTGTTAATTTATATCACACTGTAAAAATCATTTTTAAATATACATTGCATAAATTTTAAAAAATTATTAGATACATTGGTTTTAACGATAAAATTAATATCATTTATTAGAATATTTTTATTATATTAAATTTTAAAATAATATTTTTTATTAAATTCTTTTTATTATGTATTAGAAATAATGAAAGTAATATTAATTAGATAGTAGAATTGAAAAATGTATATTTGAAATTGAAATAGATAATTTATTTTGAAATTTTTTTTACTCTAAAATGAATAATTCATCATGGGACTGAGAGAGTATAGTAGTTGAATAAAGTGAAAGTTAATAAATAAAAATATAATAGTAAAAAAATAATAATAATATTGTAAAGGGATCTCGCTGTTAAAAGAACTTAAAAGAGTTATATAAATTTTAGCATATTATAAAGAGAATTATTTAGAGATATAGAAAAAGTGCAATCGAAATAAAATATTTTTTATGATATACTAGTAAAGAACTCGTGGTTCGCACGAGTCACACTATGTCTAATTTTTTGTGATTTTGTTAGATGCGAACCATTTTCCTGATGCCTATTAGTATATTGTCTTTTTCTTTTAAGAATTACTACAAAATACTGCAAAAGAAAACGTAAACCGTTCCTAATGATCTCAGCTGAAAAACGCTCACAAATATAAATGTTTAGTCTGTCTACACATAATCAAAATGTATGCAAAAAAAATTAAAATGATAAACATGTAAATGCAATTCAATAGATATGTGCATTCACACGGGTATCACAATATTATATAATTTAGACGGAAAAAAACTAATTTAATAGAAATAAAGTATTTTATTTGATTAATAAAATATATATTTATTAAATGAGTAAATTTATTAAATTATAACCAATTTATATAATTTATGGAATATTTGATAAAAAATTATAATAAAATGTAGATACAATAATAAATTTGAAATAATTTATTTAGTTATAAAATGAATTATGAACAATTATCTGAGTTGTATTAAATAACCGTAGGGATCCGTGACATTTAGAAAAAATAGATATTGTGCTGACAGTGACTCGTGAGTAGGGGTGAAAATAGACTGGGCCGAGTTAGGCTTTGTCATGTCTGAGCTGGCCTGCTAAAAAATTCAAAGGCTAAGTCGGTTCTGCTAAAAAATTCAAAGCCTAAGTCTGCCCTGTAGCCTATCATAGGCTTATTTTGAGGCTTAAGCTTGACCTTTTCGAAAGTCTGATTGGTCTACTAGCCTACTTAAAAGTCTACTTCATTTGAACATTTGTAAATAAGAAATTCAACTAATGTTAAATAGACTAACAAGTTAAAAGATCATTGAGATTAAATGTTTGTTTTCATTGTCTCATTCAAGTTTACCTATTAGCATAAGTTTTGTGTTACTATGACATTTGAGAGAACTTATAAAAAAAACGTATGACAACAACTTATGATATTGTTTATAATATTTTTTCAATTTATTTTCATAAATTGTTCAAAATAACTAAGTTTTATTTTCGTATTTTAATTCAAAGTACAAAATACAATATAATAATAATAAATTTATTGATTTTTTTATAAATAGGTCTGCCTAATAGGTTTAAAAGACATTTCTTACGGCGTGTGGCCTAACCTCTTTAACTAAATAGACTTATAAAAAAGCATATGCATTTTCTATTTAAGAAAAAGTTTGGCATGTGCCTGAGTCTATGTAGTTTAGGTCATAGGTCCCTTTTAGTTGGTTTGACCTATTCCCACTTGATAAAATATTTTTATTATTCTAAATTTTAATATTAATATATAATACTCAATTTTTTTTATTAAATATTTTATCATCATATTTATGTACTAACTTTCTCATCCCTATTATCCATCAACCATTTAAGAATTTACAAATAGAGTAATGTTAAAGATATTGGTATAAAAAACTGATCAATACCTAAAAATTTACTTTATTTTAATCAAATTTTAATAATAACGTTAATAATAGTTAATAAAAAAAATATTATATGATAAATAAATATGGAGAATTTTTTTATTTTAAAGATTTTTAAATAAAATAATAAGAAATAATAGGTATAAATATTTATTATTAATATTGATTGTTTTTTTCTCACAATATTAATATTAATAACGTATCATTTTTATTATCATATTTTCAACTCACAATATCAATATTAATAGCATAACCTTCACACGGATCACACATTATATTATATGGACCAGAAAAAAAATATCTAATTTAACAAAATAAGGTACTAATTTAACAAAATAGCCTTCTCTCTCATATTTACTATAATCAACAACCAATTAAAATTGTTTTTATATTTTTGAAAGCAATTTATTTTAACAAATTTTAGTCAAATTATTATGTTTTTATTTTTCTTAATAAGTATGATTTTGATTTTTTTTTTCTTTCTTATTAGGGCTGGAAATGAGTCGAGTCGAGTCGAACTCACCTCAGCTCGGCTCGACTCGTTAAGAATTGTTCGAATTCGAGTTCGAGTTCGAGTTTGACACGAACTTTTTTTAAAGCTCAAACTCGACTCGTTATAAGTTCACGAACAGTTCGGTTCGACTCGTTAGGTTCATCTCACGTGGTTCACGAACTTAAAAACTATTTTTTTAAATATATATATTTTTTAGTATATTTGACATTTTAAATAAATATATATTTTTTAAATAAAATATTAAAATAAAATAAAAGTTATCATATTGAAATTTAACTTTATCTTCGAAATCTACTAATTCAAAACCTACACAACTTTAATGAGATACATTTGAGAGTCTAATTCAAAAACTACTAAATTTAAGATTAAATTTGTCTAAGATTTAAAGTAAATATTTAAACCTAATCTTAAAGACAGTATAATTCTTTTCATATGTAATCGAGTTGACTCATGAACCTAACGAGTCGAACTATGTATAGTTCAAGTTCAGCTCATTTAGTTAA